TACTATATAAAAGAGAGAAAAAATCTTAACAAACAAGCAGATACGTAACAATAGGAAAACAAATTGATTTAAAAGATTAAATTGCCCCATAACATTTTAACTACTATATAAAAGAGAGAAAAAATCTTAACAAACAAGCAATCTTGACTTTAAAACCCAGATGGGCTGTCTCAGAATTTGGGCCTAAAATTCCAGAAGAAGACAAATTAAACTTGGTACCATTGTCGATACTCAGAACAATAATTATATTTTGCAAAACGGAAATAAATTCAGATATTTTTATTAAGCGTATTTGGACCTAAAATCGAAGTTTTAAACAGTATAAATACAGATTTAAAAACCTGAAAATCCGTTGTTTTGTAGATTCGCGATTATGTATGTTATTCAGTTTTATCAGGAAAAGCTATGATCGCTCGTTTAAACTTTAAAAAAGTAAAAATATCAGTTATTTATTTTTCTTATTTAGTAGCGTCTTCTGAAATATTGTTATATTATTGTTTATAATACATTAAAAACAATATAAAATTTAATTTGTAGCTTTTAAAATTAGACATTTGAAAATTCAATCAAGTCAATTCGAGAAATAAAATTTGAAATTAAAAACAGGACTAACGTTTAAAATGCATATTCAAAATTTGGCCGAAAGTTCTAAGTTGACGGCTAGCTTTGCGAAAAATTCTTAAACATATAAACAAACAAACCAAATTTTATGTTACCGTCATCAGGAGTAAAATATATACATGACAAGCAGGTATCTTTATAGAGAAACGGCTTAACTTATTGTAATCTGAATATTATACTTACGAAATCAATATTTCGTTTCAAACTATGCGTTATCACCACTTAACTATTTCTCTCTATTTAGCAAAGAATTAGTAATTTACAGCACAAAATTTCCATTGATTCTCTCAGAGGCGTCGATAAGCACTGGCACACGGCGACCGTGTCCTGATTTTATTTGACAGTGCCCCGAATCCCCAGTTGGTGACTTTAAAAAAATCAGAATAGAAAACCATGATCGATATCACAGTGAAACGCTGAAAATTCCCGGCCCGAAACCCGAATTATTTAAGTATCTCAATTTTTAGTTTCATTTAAAATTATTGTTTCATTCAATTGTAATAACCTGTTTTGACAGTGTGTTCAGCAAGCGCAGAAATTAGCATTTTGTTTATTAGGTACATAACCTTAGGTTCATGAAGGCTATTATATACACCTGG